GAAATAACTAAACATTCGGCATCATGCCGAGGTTACAAGAAGGGACAACTTGGAGATCATCTATCTATTCATTATTGCTACGCGTTTGCGATCTGAAGTGACGAAGACGAAGGGTTTAGCAAGGAGGGGAGCGCAATCATAAACTCTCCCCTTCCCTTATATTTGAAAAAAAAACTGTAAAAAGTAAAAGTGACGCACTCGTTGTCCATCGACCGTACAAACAGAAACACCCCACTTATCAGGAGACTGCCGAGCCAGTTGAGGTATATAGCTGGCCACAGTGCCATCGCGTATTTCCAGACACTGAAAACTTACATTTTTTCGTTACTAGGGCGAAATCACATTATCTAGTAAATCCTTGTCCCAGAACTACTAAGCTATAGAAGAAGTTGTAAAGAACTTACTTCGTTATAGAAAACTCGAATTTCTTCGACGAAAGCACCCCATAATGGGATGACAAGGTTATTTTGTAACGCTTGAACGATCAAGTTCACACTGCATGCGACACATCTGAAATTGCATGAAAAATGGACGGTCCGTCAGAGGTGGGCGTGGATTGCAAACACTGGGCGTGAGGAGTGCTCTCGTGAGAGCGCATTCTGTATTTATCCGCGTGGGGCGCATTTCGGCTCGGGGCGGGGCGTTCTGCCCTGTGAAGATTAGTAAACTCTCAAAGAGTCACAGGGCAGAATGCCCCGCCCCAACACGCCTAGGCTAAAGCTTCATTTACACGTGACAAAAGCAAAAAAAGTCTCACAAAAGTGAGACATGTAAGCTGACAGGGACTGGTAAAAGAGGCTTATACTGGAAAAATGCTCCAACCTCCCTCTCCCCTAAACTCTGAACCGAATAGCTCGTGATGATGCGGCTCCAGCGTTGAAAACAAAAAAAATATCAGCTTGTTCTTTGCTCTCTGGGGCGTGTCAGGGACTGATTTGGCACGGCGCCAGCTCGTCTCCTTCACCAGTATTAAAGAGGGCAAACAGCAACAACTGATGGAAAAGGGGCTGGCGCGGTGCCGCCGAAACTCGCCTAGCCCCTCTGACACGCCCAATCATCCGCAGCGAATAAGATATGCACCCGATATCACCTAAGTAAGTTGGGGCATGTCAGCGGCGCGACTCTTACAGTAGTGCAGCCCTTCGTAGTTCCGCTTGGAAGTTCACATGTAGTGGGAAGGGGGCTGGAGTTACGCCACGAGTGACTTCTGTGATCAAACTTGTAAGGGCTGCGTTTATACTTTGCGGCAGCGTAGCGTAGCGCTTCCAGCGTACGCCAGCGGCAGTGCCGAAGAGAGGATGCATATCGATCTAGCTTCACCAGCGTCACCAGCGGCACGCTAGCGTACGCCAGCGTTTCTCCAGCGTTTCACCAGCGTTTTGCTAGCGCTTGCAGCGGCAGGGGAGTAGAGACTATGGGAGAGCTGGAGGGTACAAAACACATCGATTGCGCGTCTCTCACTCGCCCTTAGTCTCTACAATGCACATCGCTTCTGCGTCTCCGACGGCCCCATAGTCTCTACGATGCACATTGCTTCTGCGTCTCCGACGGCCACATAGTCTCTACAATGCACATCGCTTCTGCGTCTCCGACGGCCACATGGTCTCTACAATACACGTCGATTCCGCGTCTCTCACGGCCACATAGTCTCTACTCCCCTGCCGCTGCAAGCGCTAGCAAAACGCTGGTGAAACGCTGGAGAAACGCTGGCGTACGCTAGCGTACGCCAGCGTGCCGCTGGTGACGCTGGTGAAGCTAGATCGATATGCATCCTCTCTTCGGCACTGCCGCTGGCGTACGCTGGAAGCGCTACGCTACGCTGCGGAGCTAACGGGGCCTTTTTTACCCGGCTTTTTTACCGGCCTGGCGGGCGCGCCGGGCAAAGTATGAACTACTGTAAGCAGAACGCAAGCCCATTGAGCATGGCTATCGATCTAGCAGAGAATCAGACCTCTGTGATCACTCTGCTTCTTTCTCCCCTGATTCTCCCTTCCAACCGGAGACACACCCATCCTGAGTGTCCTTTAGAACTTCTTTATGGTGTAATTGCGTCCGTGTATTGTCACAAGAACGTAAAACTCACTCTTATAGTATCACAAGGGCAATAAAAAGCAGGCATTATTCTCATGTCAACAGCTGTTTGCCTTAGTGAGGGGCAGTAAATCCGATCCTGTTTTGCGAAGACATCAACGAGACCTGTAAACGATCAATAACTATCTTACGCACGTACTCTATAAATTGTTCTTTGCTCAGTTTCCAGTGCTTCGGTTCGATCGTTTCCTTCATCCTCTCCTCTTCTTGTCTTTCAATCTCTTTTAACTTTCGCATCATTGGTTTCAGCCGTGGGTCTTCCATACGAAGACCAAACGCCTTCAGCACCTAAAATGACAGTTTTGCAGTTTTTTTGAGTAGGGGCTATCAAGGGAAGAGTAGAGGTCTAGATCTGTAGAGCGGTTGGTGCTGTCAGGCTGAAACCAGTGCACCACGATACCGAAAGGTTAATCTACGCCTACCCTCACGCTGAACCCACTATTCGAGTGAAAATGACTACTCTCTGAGCGCACTTCTGCCCGGAAAGGGAGAAGCCATGCACATGAGGTTTGTGGTACCGCCCTCGCCGTATCGCCCTCGATGTGATGATGAGCAAATCAGTGAAAATAACCAAAACTAACTAAGAATTTGTCAGTGAAGAGCTTACCGTGAGTAGTCGTCCGACTGACGCCTCGCTCTTGCCGGGAATCTTGAACAGTTCAAAAATGATCTCCTCTTGTCCTTTTGCGGATTCCTTCTCATATGGGTTAGCTAAACCGCGTAGGGTTTGGCTCAGAGTCGTCATCGACAATGGCCGTTCCAACATTCCACTCAGGTTTTCCACTGAAATGTACTAAACCTAAGGAACGTGAACGAGAAGTGTTCCAATCATTGAACTGTATGAACTTCACCATCAACACTATTTACCCTTTACGATCTCACTTTTTCAAGTCTGAAGTTCTTGAAGTCCCTAGCCAAGTTTGTCCTAAGGGATAGATTGTCTGTAAACTTCCCCTGGAGAGAACTTATTCTCTGAACGTGACCCGAACAGGCTACGTCCTATGGTTGGGGAGAAGAATACCGCCAACTTCCCAAATGTTCTCCGGTACACCCCCTTCCACAACTGCTCAACCATCTTACTTAAACTTCCCAAAATTTCGCCTCAGCGCTACATAGGTGGAGTAGAGGGGTCAATGGAAACTTTTATCGTAACAGAAACAGTAGTTTTCCGGTGTCGCCCACTAGGAGGTATATTCTAAGTCCCAGAGTGCAGTGGGCGTGGTTCTGCACTTCATCTGAGCGTGGTGGCGGCTGCTTTTTCGGTAGAGCATTGTCCTGACAATTCTAATGTTATTGTCCAACAGAGCACAAGAAGACAGTTGTCTGAAATCAAAATATCCCACGGGTTCCCCTTCTATGCCCTGTTCAAATTAAGTACGCTGCAACGACCACCGCGTCTGTCAGGTAACTCGGAGCTTTTATAGTGCGCGTGGATAGGGAAAAATGAACAATCAGAGAAAAATTCCTAGGCCTAGAAATCCCCCCCCCCCCCCCCTTGAGACTGAACGAACGTGGCCCTTTTTCTGCAAACAAGTATCATCTTACGTCACAGCCTCCCCCCCCTCCCCCCAATTACTGAGCTCTCTGAAGACCTGCAGAAGTAATTTGATTGCACGGGTGCAGATATCACATCCGTATAGCATGAAAATCTGTCAAGCGCCCGCAACAGCACTCGAAGCAGGTGCTGATGGCGGATTGATGCTATAAAGCGGCGCAGGACGGATTGTGATATCTGTGTTTGGGGTGTGTGGACCGCATAACGACCTGGGGGAAAATACCTAGTCAAATCGATATTTTTACCCAAACTTGGTAAAGTATGGGGGGCACAGAGGGTAAATAGTGACATTTAGTAATAAGTCAACAAGTAAAATCAATGTCTTGCTTACAAGTTCTTTGTGACGGTACTTTCTGCATGGTTTGTCGTTTTGGGTAGGCATTCATTCAAATGCCCAGCCTTAAAATGAGTAGAAATTATCGAAGTTCACACAAAGAAGTACTCTTTCATATATCATAACAGAGTCCTCAAAGACGCAAATGTGCAGATTTCAGCCCCCAGAATCATACATATTCCAAAGCAGATAGAGCATGGAAGAGGACTGTCACGCTGAATTGGAGTTCCTTCTATTTACTCAAGGGGCAGAGTTTGCGAATGATTCATGATTCTGGTACTGAGCAAATTCAATACTGAAAAAGACAAAGGGTTGTGCGAAAAGATAAAGCACAAGGCGCTGTCCAAACCGCGTCACATAGCGGGAGAAGCAGACCATGGTATAGCGAGAGAGTACAGAAATGGTGGAGACACCACAGCAATACAGCTATGGTGCAATCATATGATAGAGGTGGAGATCGCAAACGAAGGGGCGGAGACATCAAAGCATTGCAGAGCCGTGAAGCGCTTATCAAACAGGTTCGAGCCGTGAAACATCTCCACTTTAGTCCGAGAGAAAAGTTTTCAAGCGCGTTTGTCAGGATTTCTGATCTTTAAATAAGAAAAGTTAGTACTACTCCCAAAACTATGAGGGCTTTTGAACAGTGACCTTTCAAGAAACGAAAACGGCTTGATGGGTTGACTTGGAGGAAGCTGATCGAGAATTCTCTGAAATTTCTTTTTGAGGAAAACGTAATACAAATGGCAAACTAGGGAGCTGGTACTGCTGCATGTACTGCCGTATGAGAAGTAAAGTAAGTAAGGGGGCGGAACGTGTGGGTGACGTGAGCCGGCAATTCTTCTTCAATATGACGAGTGGGCAAATTCGATGAGGTGCACTAGATAGCCATTCTTAGAAACAAGCGAATCTCGTTGCAATTGCTCTATCAGTTTTTCACCCAGAATGGACGACTATCGAGGGGGACATTGATCCAGAAGCAAACGCCATCGTTAAATCAGCGCCCGGGGTCAAGTCTCAGAGTGACTCCGTCAGCTGTTTTGTTATTAGAACTCCCAGCGTCAACCAAGTTTTCAACTCCTCCTGGTCGTTCCATTGGCATAAAATTCGTCTGGCAGAAGAAAAGTGAGAACACAGGGTGTGCGAGAGTCCCCAGCTGCACTAGCATGCCAATTAGAATCGCCGATTAGAAGAATAAGGGAAAGGGAATGGAGGGTAGCGATACCGAGGTGTCGTCTCCATGCTCCGCGCGCACTGCTTAAAAGGGAGGTGGTGTAGTGACAAGTGGCGCGCTTACCACTCGCGCGGCGCCGGGTTCAAATCCCGGGTCGACTCCCGCCCAGGCCAACCAAGCCTTCTACCCTCCGGGGACGGTAAATTGGTACCAGATTCGTCTGGGAAACTGACTTGTACATCGGCTGGCCACCGCAAGTCATTGTATAGGCCACATCGCATTCAATAAGCCACTACGATTCTGAATGGAAGTAGAATGCGTGCCGCATCCCACAAAGGGATTGATCAACGGCGAAGACTTTATCCTTTATCCTTTATCACCCTAAAATGCCAGCAGGGCGCTATACAGTGGGAAAATGGAGAAAAAACGGGGTGAAACGGTCACAATCCTGCGAAGAAGAAGCTTTCAATGAATTGAAAACCAATTTTGGACGAGTTTCCCGTAGGCATCTTGCCAATAACCGCTACCGAAGGTACGGCTGCATATGTGTACTCATATATCCATGCAGCATCACGGCCGCTTCATACCAATCCCTTCGCTTCATAATTTGCGCAAATGAATCAACACAGCCGTTCAAGAAACGGTCGTCCATTTCTGGGCGGCGGGCGTGGCGGGGCGTCGAGTCGTAGTGTCTCTGTACAGCTTCATAGGGCCACTTATAAGAGGCACAGGGACAAAAGCGGCTAGCCGGCAGCGCCTCTCAGGGTTGCGGTATACGACGTGCCTATCCGGCGATTAATTACCTAACTCGTCATTTTAAAGAATTTATCGTGAGGCACGAGAACTGCCTATTAATGCGCAGCACTTCCGCTCTATACGAGGTCCCACAGCAAACAAGTACGGTAGAGAATAACTGTGTAAGAGCGAGAAGGCCCACACAAGCAGCGTTTTGACGTGGTTAGGTGCGTGTCTCGATGTGCAGGCGGACTATGGAGGGCGCCTGGTTTCAGCCTCCCTCCGCAACTCCAATTCGCTGTCCACTTCATCAAAAAGTCCGAACCGCTACTAGCAGCCTGGGCACCCGTATCCCACCGCAAAAGCATGAAAATAGAGAGCTAGAAGCAATCATTGTGGGGAGTGTATATGGCTCGTTCATGTTTGTGGTCTAGTTATGTAAAGAAACATCAAGGGGATTGCAGTAACCGCTTCCAACGGGAAGTCTTATTTTGAGTCGTCTTCTCGAGCAGGAAACATTTGGCTAATTGAGAGAGGTCTACTCAGTCCTCATCATTATGAACTGTCGGGGCGGCTGAACCGCGCTACACATATGACGCGACAGCGCTAAGCGGGCTGAATCAGCTGATTTCCAAGGCAATTAGACGAATTCCGTCCACTTTTTCAGCTCTTCAAGCTTCGAAAGTGGAAGGTGAGTTATTTGAACAATTTTAATTGTACTGACTCTGAATGAATCTGAAAGAATGCAAGCCATTTGAATAAATGCCTGAAATATGGCAAAATACAAGGAAAAGAGCATAATAATAGACACTTCGTAAGGCTTGAAGGAACGAAAAAAGGAATTCAGCAGGCCGAATTCCATCCGAAATCAGCTGATTCGCCGTCACCGAGCCGCAGCCGCCGTCGCGTCACAGTGCAGCGAGCTGTGCCGCCGCCCTTACAGTCCGCAATGATGACGACTGGATGGTGTATAAATTGAAAGGAAATGGATGGGGTACATCTTGCTGGGGCATAATCAGCAGCGAGATTTTTACCGCGAAATCTATGAGGCAGGTAGGCTGCGTTTATACTTTGCGGCAGCGTAGCGTAGCGCTTCCAGCGTACGCCAGCGGCAGTGCCGGGGAGAGGATGCATATCGATCTAGCGTTCCCAGCGTCACCAGCGTAACGCTAGCGTACGCCAGGCTTCGTTCAGCTGTTTCTCCAGCGTTTTGCTAGCGTTTGCAGCGGCAGGGGAGTAGAGACTATGGGAGAGCTGGAGGGTACAAAACACATCGATTGCGCGTCTCTCACTCGCCCTCAGTCTCTACAATACACATCGATTCCGCGTCTCTGACGGCCACATAGTCTCTACAATACACATCGATTCTGCGTCTCTGACGGCCACATAGTCTCTACTCCCCTGCCGCTGCAAACGCCAGCAAAACGCTGGTGAAACGCTGGAGAAACGCTGGCGTACGCTAGCGTTAGCGCTGGTGACGCTGGGAGCGCTAGATCGATATCCATCCTCTCTCCGGCACTGCCGCTGGCGTACGCTGGAAGCGCTACGCTACGCTGCCGCAAAGTATAAACGCAGCCTGAAGATGAAAACCGAGATTGAAAGAGGTCGCGTATCACGTAATGGAGCGGGTCGTTTCAAAGGCCGTCCGTGATCGAGGCGTATAGAAGTTGAAGAATATGGCGTTGGGAGGGTAGTGTGGTCCGCGACGAACAACCTTGTACCGGTTTCGTGGCAAATAGTTGTATGGGAGGGGCGCTATACTGCAACATAGCTTCAATGACGCCTCCTTCGTTCCAGTAGTTCCGCCTCCAGACTCCGCCGCCTGCCGACGGCGCGCCTTTCAGTAAAAAAAAACGGACAATATTTTACGGCTCCAGCTGCTGGACGAATAAGTGATGATAAGGTAGTTGTAATGGTCAGTTTGATCGGCGAGTCAGCTGCGCGGATGAGGCGTACTGATGGAGATGGGGG